CTCTGCCCTCGCTCGCGCCGGCGCTCCAGTCTCCGCCGAGTTGTTAGCCTATCCGCCCTTCTTCTTGCTCTCCGTCGTTTTTCTTCCCTCCACCGCCCTCCGCCGTTTCCGCCGACGCCACCGTGAGTGCGGACCGTGCCCCCTTCCCCGCCACTATGTCCTGACGGGCTCCACCGCCATCGCCAGGGTCGCCGCAGCCGCCATGTTGGATCCCCCACATAAATAGAAGCAGGCCGCGAGCGGGCGCATGCGCAGTCGGGAGACGCTCCCGTCCACCTTCGTGGCCGGGGCTCAGTTTTCCTCCCAACAGTCTGGGAGTCCAGACAGGTCAGCGGAAGTGACGTATGTCGAGGCCGGTTTCCTTGGAAACGGAGACGCTGTCTGCGCCCTTTCTAAAAGGGAGGGGTTTGGGGGGGCGGTGTTCCCGAGAAGCTTCCTATTAGCATTCGGAAACCCGAGGCGCTAGCCGAGGGCGAGCGTCTGGATGTGCTGGGGACCGACCTCGTCATGGCGCTGTGTCTCCTCAGGCACGTGCCACCCGCTCTCGGCTCTGGAGTTGGGTTGTCAGGTGGTTATTCCAGGCGGCTTCGGGGAAAGGGTAGAAGGACGCGAGGACCTGCCGAGGTACCTGCCCGCCCAGCGCTCCCGCAGCCCTAGGTCGTCGAGGGAAGAAAGGAAATGGCTAACTCCAGCCGGACTCGCCCGGCGGCTTCCCTCCGCTGAGCGCAACACTGACTCCCACAGGCCGCCCTTCCCGGGACCGACTGTTTCCTCGCTTGGCCGAGGTGGAAGGGGGGAATGTATGTGGCAGGGTCGAAAAATGCTCAGAAACGTTGTGTAGTTGGGAAATGGAACAAGCAAGTGGACAGCTCGGGGTCTTTCATAAAGACTAAAGTGTTTATTAATCGCAAAGAGCTTAAGAGGGCTTGGTGGGGTTTTAGGGGGCATACTCCCGAAGTGGGTGCTGAAGGATCCATTTCAGGGCGGAGGAGAATCCTGGATTGGGCACGCCTTGCAGGCACTGCCAGATAAACTAATTAGATTACGCATTAAATGCATGACGATTACTGTCCGTTTTCAGCCATGAAGTAGGAAGTAAATTTCAGGGCTCGCCCTCCACATCCTGAAGGAAATCCTGTTAATTCCATTAACCGGATAAGAACAATGTCACCCATTGACGATGCTCTGAGTCATGTGACGTCACAGACAAATTCCGAGTAGTTTCTCTCTTTTTTTGCTCTCCTATTCCGTTCTCTGAAGATGATGATGGAATAGATGGTTCCAGAGGTCCCTCCCGGCTCTGAAATGCTGTCATTTTCCCTTGGCACTCTGTTTTACCTCCAAAATCCTCTTTCCCTTTGCTCCTCTTCTGATTCTGCATTAGAGTCGCATTTTTGTCACCTTTCTGTCTCTAAAGTCTCTTTTCCTCCAGTCTTGCAACGGAGTGATATTAATATGTCTAAAACACTTTTATAGTATTATATCACTCTCTGTCCTAGCTGCAAAGTAAGATGGTTTGCCCTCTGGAGTTAAAAGTTAGGAAAAACTGGCAATAGCAGAGACAAACAGAATCAACATTAATAGGTAGTCTGGAATACAGTTCATGACTTCTTATGCTAGTCTTCTCTGAGGAAGGCATATTTAAGACAGAATGTCTTGAGAAGATCATAAAGGAGGGTACCACAGAGAAAGAAAAGCGAAGGTAAGGTCTGCAGAGGGAGTGAACTTGGAGGATTGGAAGAAAGGTCAGAATGGCTGGAGGACAGCGAGCAAATAGGGGGAGATAAAGGAGATAAATCCCAGCGAGAGGTAGGGGCCAGGTCACGAGGACAGGGAGATGATTCCTGCATTTG